GCTTTTAAACCGTTTATATCATCATCACCTAATCCATCTAAATACGATTGGTACCACGGATACATCACTGCATAGTTATTGTCAGTATGACTCAATCCCAAGGCATGCCCAATTTCATGTAATAAAACTGTGAGAAAAGAAATGCTATCATCTCCCGGACGGCTTGTCTGTTGAAACTAAAATCCCAAGATTCACTTGAATCAAAATGAATTTCCACACATCCATCACCACTAGGAAAATATGCGTGAGCTAGTTCTACACCCTTACCATCAAAATTATTTGAACATTTTTCTCCACCACGACAATTTGCACGAAAATCGTGCTCTCTATGAACAAATGTTAGAGTAATATCCGGAAATTTTGTTGAAGGTACTAAAACAACTTCAAATTTTAAATTGGATGCATTTTCCCATATTTCGAAAGCTTTTTTAGCCACTTGAAGATGTTCTCGAGCTGCTTGAGGAAAATACCAAGTTAAGTTAGTTTTATTCCATTTTGACTTAATGACATAAGAATTCTCTCCCACTGTACATCGAGGCCTATTCAATAATTCTACAGTTTTTTCGTTCAATGATCCGGAAACAGGTAAGTTATATCGTTCTTGGAATGTAATGAGGGATGTCTGAAAATCTGATAAAGAATCCTCTTCAACATAACCAAACTTTTTTAGATATTTCTGCACATCAGCTTCATTTATCGCGACTATCAAAGGTAGCAATATAGAAAATACAAGCAGTTTCATAGCGAATTATTCGTTAGCTAGTTAGCAGACAGTCTAATAAACTGAACATAAATGTTTATTGTGTTAATTATATACAAAATTTCAAAAAAAAAAAAAAAAATGCAAATCAGAATAATCCTTTATTCATAATCTATATCCTTAATTACTTTTTTTTCATAATAATGTAAATATTCACTAAGAGCTAAAACCAACTGAACATTCCCATTACATGCCTCATATAAAGATTAAACAAGCTTTAAATATGAACCTATTTTAGTGTTATCTTTGGTTTTGAAATGCAAGTTAATTTTATGTATCACATTATGATAAAATAAACAAAAATTTAATTCTTCTAACATTAACACTCTGTATTGAACAAGATTAGAATGAATATTAATCAATTTTAATACATCATCCTCACTCATGTAAAAATTGACATCATGTTTTTCCACCTTTAGCTGCTTTAAATTGTTTCTGATCATTCGGGTTATTTTAGCGTATTCACCATCGCATCGCTTTTTCGTCACCAGGTACAGCAGGATTATTAAAAAAATCTTCATCTTCCTTTTGAAGTAAATTTATAAACATAGCCCATTCGAAAGCGTCAAATGATATTTTTCCTGGGTTGGATATTTCAATTGCAGATAATCTGATGGCTGGACTGAATGTTCTGGCTGGACTTAGACCGCACTCAACAAAAAAACAGTCTCCAATCATATACGATGACGAGAGAAGATAACACTTTTCAATCTCAGCTGCATTTTCAAACTGCTTCAAATTTTCATCAAGAACTTGACTGTAATATGGTTGTGAGGATACTCGGGTTGATGATAATGACTCACCATTACCACTATCAACTTTGATATCTTCCATTTTTAAGATGCGTGTTGTTAATGCTATTCACTAAATGACACTGAGCATATTTTTAGTATTGTTTGCAAATAATAGGTTTCTTTGATACACAAAATTTTTAAGGCTTGCGCATAATAGGTTTACACCCAGTTTTTAAGCAATATCATTCTTATCAAAACAGCTGTTGAATGACTTATTGAACCCCAACCATTTAACGTACATTTTATTTCCTTTCTCACGTAAAACCTGTTCTACCAGAAATACATTCGGTTGTTTTGTTTTCTGTAATTCTTTTTCATAAAAACCTCCTAGAATAGGCTGGCCTTGTGAGTCCTCCAGCAAATAGGTTGGTGGATTTGTAATATGCACTTTAACTACTTTAAAGAGTTCTGTAGTCCAGTTTGGAGTATATCCTTTTTGAAAAACATGTTTGTACTTGCTTATACGAACTACGTCACCACCCTGAATTTTTTTTTTTTCCAGCTACTTTAATATGACTATAAACGCTATTGAGTAGTGATTTTTCATTCTTTTTAGTAACTTTGCTTGGCTTCATATTAATTGTGCTATGTGTGCTGTCATTATATGCATCAGTAATTGGTCTCAATTTATGGTTCCCATTTAACGTAAATTGTCTGAATAATTTTTCTTTTATTGTTCGAATTACCCGTTCTGCTATTGACGCCTTCAAAGGACTGAACGTGCTATAATGGTGTATACCATATTTTTTCATTAGACTCGAAAATTGTATGTTATAATATTTCCATTGTCGGAAACAATTTTTTTGGGAATTCTACCTGAATCTTTCAATATACTCCCGAAAGCTTTAGCAACATCTTGTGCAGATTTCGATTTTACAGCCCTAGTCCAGATATATTTAGAAAAACAGTCAATAACTACCACTATGTACTTGAAACCTCTATTTTCCCTGGAATATTGATCAAGTTGAGCTAAATCCGTAGCGAAAGTATCATCTAAACCATACTGTATGAATCTTCGAATAAATTTTTTATGTGCAGGTCTGTGTAATTCTCTAACTACTTGTTCTCTAGCTGGGGTAACCATAGAGGCTTTATCAATTTTTTTTACTTTCATTGTTATCTATATGGGTAACTAGGATAAAATGATGCAAATTATATGAATTTTGTATATTGATTTAACTTTTTGAACACCGTTATTTTTTTGAAAAAATTCTTTTACTTTTTCATCAATTATTTGAATCATCTGTCCTTTAGGAACCAGATCGCCATCATTTATAGCCTTGGCAGCTCTAACTATTCTCTTGTCAGCAATACTTATATATGTAGGCGTTATATTAAACTGTTTATGCTGCTGCTCTGAATCAAATATTCTGCCAATACATTCCCTATTCTTTGTAGCTAAATCTTGCATTCTTTGATTTATTGTAAAATCAATATTATTCCCCATTGATACATTCTTAAATCTCAAGTTACCAATTTCGATTAGGTTATCTTCCACTTTCTTATTTAATTTATTTATATTGTCATCAAGAGCCTTGACATTTACATTTTCGATTAGGTTATCATCCACTTTCTTATTTAATTTATTTATATTGCCATCAAGAGCTTTGACATGTACATTCAATTGATTATCTATATATTCTTTGGTGGCAGCATCATTTTTGTTCATCGGTTCTTTGAGGTTATACAACCTATGGTTTTCCATATCAAAGTCGCCATTGTTCGTGCGGGGTAGTGGTGAATCCCACTCATTATGAATAATAGGTTTACGTTTTCTACCATCACTGGCGGACAGAGCCCGACCGAACTTGTCCATGGTTTACATAAAAATGGGGAAACATGAATAGTATAGATTTTTTTATTTAAAATATAATCACTCCCAACTCGCGAAGCTCTTCCAAAATACTCATTATTTCATTTGTGTGATTTACATTACCAGCTACTTGGGATGCATCTAGTTTTATCAATCTATCCACTAGTTCGTTGACGTCATCATAGTAGATATATTGCTTAGGATTTTCATTATACTCCATTAAAGCGCTTCCAGATTTACCTTTTGATCGTGTACTCGGAGAGAATCCGGAGATATTTCTGCTGGAATTGAGCTTAGCTGCTTCAGCCTTTGCTGAAGCCAAAGGTTTTGTAACGTTTTTGTATTTTAAAGAGGAGGATCCTTTGATTTGTGCAGCTGGATTAAAATCCCTTCTATGAGCATTAGTTTTATTTAAAATATCTTGGAGCTGCAACTCATCGGTTTTGGTTTGACCGCGAGGATTTTTTAAAAATAGTAGATCATATAATCCAGGCGTCCCCTCATAAACCGTATCACCCACTTTGATATCACCATTTGAGAGAAAATCCACTTTTTTTGATCCTATAGTCCATAGATCATTGTTCTTATTGTGTTTAATATAATAATGATCTATTTTGTTTGAATTATTGTAGTGCATATCTACATAATCCTGCGCTATTTTGAGGTATTGCTCCAAATAATTCCTATAACTTTGTGAACGATCTACAATAGATTTTTCAAGTTCAAGATCTCTTTCCGTTTCTTGTGCTGATTTAAATACATTATCATATTCGTCACTATCCTCATTAACCTCAAAAACTTCTTCTTTTGGCCTTGAAGTGGATGCATATTTCGAGATTTTTCTAATTTTTTTAGGTTTGAAATCAATACCTTCTTGATCCTCTTCCTCCTCCTTCTCCTCCTCCTCCTTCTCCTCCTCCTCCTCCTCCTCATTTTTTAACCCTTCATTCTTAATAGCATATTTTTCTGTTTTAATATTTACGTTTGTATTGTTTGTTTTTTCAGCTAACTTGATTAGCGGCTCTTTGATGGGATTGAAAAATTTAGTTATTGCGTCATCTTCTTCGTTCCTTTCCAATTTTAATGATACGTATTTTCTTTTAATGCTATCAGCAGCAGCAATAATTTCACGTTTTATTCGCTTATCGAATTTACTTAGAGTTTCAGGAGGCATATTTAGACAAAATATATACGTATCCAATCAAATTATCAGGACTGAACAGGTGGCTAACCTATTTTGTACTGTTTGAAACTGCGGTCAGTTACGGTGTTATATAGAAATCAAATGAGGCGTTGAGAACTAAAGTGGTCTAACCCACAAAATTTGCCATTTTATGTTAAGGTCAGTATCGTAATGGTAATTGCCTATATTTTCAATGTTAGAACGGCCTAACCCTAGTTCTTTATCACTTTTAGAGATGTCACCACAAATATTGTTTTAGCATTTAGATATGACTCACTAAATAAAATGCTATACTGGCCTAAAGAGGGTTAGGCCACTGTGATATTTTAATTTTTGACATATCAGCTGTTCGTGTGGTTTGTTTTGTGTTCTTCATGTTTCATGCAGTTTTTTATTCTCTTCGCTCTAGAAAGTGATATAAAAAATATTATTTTCTCCCCCATGGAGAACATGGATATTGATGGTAAGTTTTATAATACCTAACAGGGTTGAAAATAGTTTTTAGGTGCTCATTACAAACAAAAACCACACAAAAACTTATTTTAAGATATTTTTCTGAGCTAGTCGCAAATTTTTAAGTAATTGATATTTCTTCAGGAGATTCAGATTCAGAATATTCAGATACTTATGCTACAGATGAAGATTCTGAATATGAACCTGAAGTGCCAAAACCAACAGAGGCCGACTCTGAAAGTAGCGAAGAAAGCACGGCCATTGTAACAACTCCGCAAAGCAGCAGAAAAAGGGTCAGAAGAGAAAAAAGTTGGGCTTGCAATCAACGGAAAACTAAAAGAGCCTTAGGTCTTGCTTACAAAAATACAAGGGGAGTCCAGGTTTCTAAAAAGACATTCGAAATTCCTGTATGCCAATGTGGTAATAAATGCCATGAAAAGATTAGTGAAGCTCAGAGCGAAGCTATTTTCAAAAAGTTTTATGATCTGGCTGATTTCAATTTGCAGACGGCTTACATTTTTGGACAGATTAAGGTTATTAAAAAAACTCGCGTTTACACAGAAAATCCAGAGAGTCGCCGCCAATTTACTAGAATTTACTATTTGCCCAATGAAAATGGTTTAGATGTAAAAGTCTGCAAGGACTTTTTCAAAAAGAACTTACAAGTTTCTGACGGTCGATTATCGAGGATTTTAAAAAGCAAACCTGAGGGAATACCACCAAAAGATAAAAGAGGAAAACACCCTTCAGCGAACAAAACTCCCGAAGCCAAAGTTTTAGAAGTAATGGATTTTATTAAACGCTTTCCAGTTTTTGAATGCCATTATTCTAGGCCAAAAAGTGGCAATAGAAAGTATTTGGCCCCAGATCTGAATATAACAATAATGTATAGTTTGTATAAGGATCAAGCAGAATCAGCAGTTAGTAGATATATTTTTAGAAATATTTTTAATACTCGTTTCAACTTGCATTTCCACGCTCCAATAACTGACAGCTGCCGAAAATGTGACGAATTTAATAACAAGCTAAAGGTTACCGAAGGTGAGGAAAAAAGAAATCTAGAGATTGAAAAAGAGTTACATTTGCGTAAAGCGGAGCTGGCTAGATCAGAAATTAAAAAAGATGGAGAAAAAGCAATGATTGAAGAAAACGAAACGGCTGCCATAGCATTTGATTTAATGAAGACCCTTCCAACCCCTGTACTTTCGACAGGTATTACCTACTATAAACGTCAGTTGTGGACCTATTGTCTAGGTAACTAAAAATTAAACTCAAATTTTTGTTTTGCAAATTCTGTAGCTAATGTTTTAGGTATACACAACCTTGCCAAAAATACTGCTATTATGTATGTATGGAATGAATCAATTGCTTCAAGAGGGCCGCAAGAAATTGGATCGTGTTTGTTACACTATTGTAAAAATTTTGTTAAGGAAAAAAAACTCATTATGTACAGTGACCAATGTGGTGGCCAAAATAGGAACATAAAAATGGCGCTTATTTGCGACTTTATCGCAACATCGACAGAATTTACTGTGAATGAAATAGATCACAAATTTTTGGTATCAGGCCATTCTTATCTGCCTTGTGATCAGGACTTTGGCATAGTGGAAAAAGAGAAAAAGTTCCATAAAGATATATTTTTACCCGTCCATTGGGTAACAGTTATAAAATCTGCACGTAAAAAAAAGCCTTTTCAGGTAATTGAAATATCCGGAAAAGATTTTTTTTCTACCAGAGTCCTGGAAAACAGCATAACTAATAGAAAAGTTTCTGAAAATGGTTCAAAGGTAGAATGGATGAAAATGCAATGGCTTAGATACACTTCTGAAAACAAGCACCGTTTTCAGTTCAAATATTCTAACTCAGAGGATGTTTTATTCAACTCTGTAAATGTGTCAAAGCGCAAGGCAGGTAATCAAGTTAATGCTGTACAACTGCTGTTCCCAAATGGTAGGCCAATTGAAAAAAAAAAGAAACAAGATCTTATGGACCTTCTTCCTTATATTCCGCCCATATACCACCCATTTTATGAAGGTCTGAAAACTTCTTCGACAGCAGCTCATGAACTGGCTGATGAGCATGCTGAGGGAGAAAATTTTGATACAAATGATGATGAAAACGCTGAAGCCTAGTTTTTTTAGTATCGAATTATAATCAGAAATAGGTACATTGTTTTATTTATTTATTTTTTTTTCAATAAAGCATCTTTTCGATACTTTATGCAACTTTTTTCATACCACTAAAGAATTCCATAATTTGGTTTGGGTTAGGCTGCCAGATTATGAATGATTCCCATTGTTTTCAAGATTCTGAAGTGGCCTAACCCACATCAAAGTTCAAATTTTTGAAAAATCAAAATTTTTTAATGACAGACCTTATACCTCTATGTTAGATTTAACTATTTTTCAAAATTTTTCTGCCTACAAGCTAATTTTAACAAAAAAAAATTAAAACAAATTTTATGGTAATTTTTGAACTCAATATTTTTGAAATCTTCAATTTGGGGTTAGGCCACTCTAGCTCTCAACGCCTCAAATTTACTCCTATATCTTGCCTTATTTATATCATCGTCTTTTACAATTACTAAAAAACCATATTTAGTTTTCCAACATTCAGAACAAATTTTTTTAAATGTTTCTAGAGGCATATCCGTATTTACATGATCACTATAAACATGCTTCAGGTTCATATCATCCTGCTTAAACACTATAATCATGTTTGCATTATCACGAATCAATTGCTTCGGTATTTTCGAATAGGTTTGACAGAGATAGAAGGAGTCCACATCATTATGTCTACCCATACAATAGTTATTTCTTATCTTTTCCTGCTTATCACAAGCTACATCATCAAATATAAATATGGAATTAGGTTGAGCATTTTTAGGATCGATAACTTCATCATTATCACTGTATTTATGAAATTTGACTCCCGTTACTCGACTTATCACTTTTTCTAAAAACATATACTTTTCCTGATAGAGTGATTTGGAGTACACATGCATTTTTAAATTTCAATCCATTTGCATCGATAAGCAAGCTTAACATAAGGTTACTTTTTCCACAATTACTCGGACCACATATTATCGCTCTAACAGTATTTGGTAGAAGTGCGCTGTGCCGCCGTTTCCGATTTTCTGGTTTATTTAAATCGAAATTAGAAACCTTTATGCTGAGTGATTGCTTTTCTGCCCCCATGCTATTTAAGATATGGCTACTCAAACTACACTTCATTAGTAATGAGTAGTTCCAAGGGTGAAGGTCTCTTAAATAGCGTCATTAACAAACTTCCAATTGAACTTCATTTACCTGGCTACTCTTATTGTGGTCCTGGTACAAAACTGAATCAGCGATTGGCGCGTGGTGATCCGCCAAAAAACAAATTAGATAGATATTGCAAAGATCACGATATCGAATATTCGAATTTCATTGATTCACAAAAAGACATCAAGCCGATAAAGTTTTGGAAAATAGAGCTTGGGAGCGAGTTAAGTCGAAAGATTCAAGTTTTGGTGAGAAAACTGCAGCCTGGTTTGTAACTAATGCAATGAAAGCTAAACGTAAGCTTGGAATGGGAAATATCATAAAAAAGGTTGCGAGCAATAAAAAACGGAGGAGGAAAATTCGTAAACGCAAACGCTCCAGTAGATCAAAACCGTTTAATGCATGTATTATAAATGATGTTAAAAAACATTTAAGACCCTTCAGCGGAAATTCCCTTAAAGATAATGTGAAGCTAGCAGTGAAGGTTGCACGACAAGCCATAAAAAATGCTGGTGGTAGAAAGAAAATTAAACTTCCTAGAGTTATTCCAGTGCCCAAAGTTGGGGGGTTCCTTCCACTTATCCCAATATTCGCTGGTCTAAGTGCTCTGGGAGCGCTTAGTGGTGGGGCTGCGGGTATTGCGAAGGCTGTAAACGATGCACGCGCTGCAAAAGACAGGCTTGCAGAAGCTACGCGACATAACGAAACTATGGAATCTATCGCCTTGGGAAAGAAAGGAGGGGGATTATATCTAGCTAAACATAAGACTGGATATGGTTTGTACTTGAAGAAGATGTCAAAAAACTTCCAATAAAGCTACCCAATCGGCCATTAACAAATATGGATATTGAAACATGTGTCAAGCGCTTGAAAATATCTCACTTTAAAGGCGTATTTATGCGAGATACATTACCAATTTTACCTTATAAAAATGAAAGCGCTATAATTAATTTGAATTTAAATGTGGGACCTGGAACGCATTGGGTAGCTTACAAGAAAAGGGGAAGAAATGTTGTTTATTTCGATAGTTTTGGAAATCTGAATCCACCATTGGAGTTAGTGAAATATTTTAAAAATTGCAAAATTTTATTTAATTATGATCAATATCAAAACTATAATACGCATAATTGTGGACACCTTGTGTTAAATTTTTTGTATAATAAAAATCAATATAAATAAAATAATCGTTTTAATTCGCATCAGTCATGTCTCAAACTTTCACCTTGAAGGGTCGATCTAGTTGTTTGAGTGTAGATATTAATCCTGCCGTAGAGCTTGATTCAGCTATTCCCTTGCTTTAATTTCATTGAGTACATGGAATTCCATTCCGAACATTGAACCTGGCAGTAATAAGTTTTACTTTACCGATACACAGGCTGGCAAAGAAAAGCACGAGATAGAAATACCTACAGGATCTTACGAGATAGCAGATATAGAAGAATATATTCAAAAACGCATGAGTGAGAAAATAGGGAAGCAGACTACAGTTTTCACTTTAAAACCAAATAACAATACATTGAAGTGCGAAATAAAGAGCATCTATGATATTGATTTTACTCCTAAAGATAGCATTAGGCATTTATTAGGATTTCCCGCGGATGTTCTTAAGGCTAACAAACTACACTCATTCAGTCTACCTGTAAACATCATTAAAGTGCTCACTATACGAATTGAGTGCAATATTGTGTCGGGCACCTATTACGGAAATACACCATCACACCATTATTCGAGTTTTCGCCAATAGTCGATCCAGGATATAGTATTATTGTGGAGCCTCGTAATCTTATTTATTTACCTGTGAACCGAAGAAATATTGATAATATCACGATAAATATATTGGATCAAGAAGCAAGACCGGTAAATTTCAGGGGAGAAGAAATTATAGTTAGATTAGAACTGAGAAGAAATGGGTTTACTTTTATTATACACCTTATAGGCTGCAGGAACAACAACAACATGATCGGAAAGGGTATATATATGATCCCAATCATACACCTAAATCAGTTAAGAAAAAAACATTGACACAGACGCTCACTCAGCGAAATTTTCTCCAGCTTACTTTTTTTGGCACATAAATATAGTTATCGTGTCGGAAAAACTACAAATATTTCAGTCGGTTGTTGCAGATGAATCAATTGACCGAGAAGAATGGCACACTTATCACCCATTCACTAAATCATTCAATTATAATGATGAAATTGAAATTGTTATTAACCAACAAGATGTTTTTATGGATATATCTCAAGCTGAACTTTACATAGAGGCAACATTAAGTCATGAAACAACTGTAGGTAAAACAGGAAAATGCACTTTGAGTAATAATGTAGGTGCTTTCCTATTTGAATCAGTAGGATATGAATTGAATGGGAGGGAAATTGAAAAAGTTCGCGATCCTGGTCTCACCAGTACAGTTAAGAATCTTCTGACCTTAAATGAATATGAGAGCAAAACGCTCAATACTGCAGGATGGAATTGGCTCTCTGAACCGCTACCATCAATTGTTAAAACCACTGGTGAAGACGGTAATTTTAATTTACTGATACCTTTACATTACTTTTTTGGTGTATTTGCTGACTACAGGAATGTTATCATGGGAAAGCAGAAAATTAAACTAGTGCGTGCAAGAAATGATGAGAATTGTTACGTGAACGAAGTAGGCAACAAGAAGGCATCAATTACAATTTCTTCAATAGAACTAAAAGTTAAGCATGTGTACCTCAATGATATGATAAAACTGAATGTTTTTGAGGAAATTGCTAAAAATAAGCCTATTTTCATAGCATTCAGAAATTGGGAAATTCACGAATTACCAGCTCTAAGAACCACGAAAAGAGATATTTGGACTGTGAAATCTATGTCTGAAAGAGCCCGATATGTAATAGTATTTTTCCAAACAGATCGTAAACATAATTCACAAAAAGACTGTACCTATTTTGATAATTTGAATATTACTGATATTAAACTGTACCTCAATTCAGAGGTTTATCCGTACGAATCGTTAAATCTTAATTTCACTAACAAAAAAGTTGCTGAAGCTTATAGAATGCATACTGATTTTCAAATGAATTATTTGGGAAAAGTTCGTAGTGAGCCGTTAATAGACTTTAAGAATTTTTTAAATAGAACACTCTTTGTTATTGATTGTTCTAAACAAAATGAATCAATAAAGAGCAATACTGTTGATGTGAAATTAGAGTTTCAAAGCTCGGAGAATTTTTCTAATAACACCCGAGCCTATTGCATCATCGTGCATGATCGTGTTCTAGAATATCTACCTTTATCTGGCGATGTAAGAAACCTTATTTAAGCATTTATCGTTTGACTGCAGCAAAATGAAGTTCCTAGTGCTAGATTGTCAAGGATATTTCACACCTAAATTTGAAGTTAAAGAATTAGCAATATATGATGGGAAAATAGTGAAGTCCTGGTTGTATAAACCAAATACACCATATAGATCTTTATCAGAATCTTATAAGAAGACTGCCAAGTATGTGTTTTACAACATCCATGGGATTCATTACAATTCTGGTAATGTGGCATATAATAACCTCAATCAGATACTTCTAGTTGAACTCAAGGATATTGATACTATTTTTGTTAAAGGACATATTAAAAAAGACTTTTTACTTCAATTGTATTCTAAGATAAATCAAACACCCCCGAATATTATCAATTTGGAGCATACACATTCAGAAGGTTCATTTACATCAAAATTTAGTTGAATGTATGCATCATAAACTGAAATGGTGTTCATGTGGCATTGTTAATGTCTATAAATTATATAATTATATTCTAAATGTCTTATCTAATCATAAGTTATTCAAATAAAGCTATATTTTTAGAATTTTATCGACTTTCATTATGTTCACCTATCAGTTATGTGAGCCTGCTACAAAGTAGAAGTAACGGGGGCACCTGAGTCCCGGGAACTTTTTCGATATCGTGGGAAAAGTTCTAGATCGGCGGCGCCTTTGATCAGAAATTTCGGGGGTGTGACCCGAGCTAACCTCAAATTTGCGGGAGCTTTCCCGGAATTCGGTCGCAGCTCCTTATCTCATGGTGTCATCTTCAACCGTAGTTGATGATCATGTAGTATTGTTAATGCCTATAATTTATATAATTATATTTTCAATGCCTTATCCAATCAGAAGTTATTGAAATAAAGCTGTATTTTTAAAATTTTAACGGCTTTCAATATGTTCACCCATCAGTTATGTGGGCCCTATCAGCTTTGGTTAGATCTGTATACAGCTATAGACCTGTTTGCAGCTATAGACCTGTATACAGCTATAGACCTGTATACAGCTATACATAATCGCCTACCTCTCTCACCATAGATAGTTAACAAAATAATTCAAGACAAGCCCTCACGGGAAACCGGGGCCCAGGGATCTGCGCCCCCAGCTCCGGACCCCAATCCGCGCCCCCACAATCCGCCGCCACCGTCGCCCGACGACCAGGGGCGAGGGTCCCAAGTGCTTGGTACCTGCAGCGCCATCTAGCAATACAAGCTGTTACCATCACAGCGTGGGCCATCGGTACGCTACCTGCAGCGCCATCTAGCAATACTTGCTGTTACCCATCTGAGCAAGCCTTAACATAAACAATGACACTGACTGACTGAACAAAAAAAAAATCAAAGTAGCATGTCGTTTTACTTGCTATGCCGATGAAATATTTTTTCAAATGTTTCAACAAGTCATTCCAAAGAATTATAAAATTTGAAAAAAAGCTCCGATGAAAAGCTCCTAAAAATGAGTGAAACGGATCTTCCATCAGACATAGAAGAAATTGCCCAGAACGCTGTATCCTCGCTGTTACCGGAAAAGTCCAAGGACAGATACAAAAAGGAATACGACCGTTTCATCAGCTGGAGCAATGAAAAAATATCAAAAACTACTTTCAAAAAAAGGTATTCCTCGCATATTTTGAAACATTAGCACAAAAGTACAGCTCATCCAGTCTGTGGGCATTTTATTCCATGATGCGCGCTACAATTTCCATGAAAAATAATGTGGATATAAGCAAGTTTGCCCAGCTACAAGCTCTTTTAAAAAGAAAGTCTGAAGGATATAGACCCAAAAAGAGTAGAACTTTTACTAAAGATGAAATTGGTAAATTTCTGATAGAAGCAGAAGACAAGAAGTTTTTGCTCGCTAAGGTAAGCTATTCATATATTTATTATCCACATTTAAAATAACCAGCAAACTTCAAAAATTAAAGAGGCAATTTTTAACATCCATTTTTATTTGTCGCAGGTGGGGCTTATTATCGGAATCGCTGGGGCATGTCGCAAACAAGAGTTGACAGATTTGACGTGTGATAATATCAAAGATGAACGCAGCGTATTTCATATTGTAATTCCCAATACAAAGACAAAAATTACAGAGAATTTTTTGTAACTTCTGGCGGTATTGAAGGCGTAAACCTAGTCGACATCGTACGACAATACAAAACACTTCGCCCAACGAACACAAATCATTCTCGCTTTTTCGTTGCATTCAACAATAAATAAAAAATTAATATTTTATTTATTGTTTACAAATGAGTAACAAATAAATTATTGTACAGGGTATTTGATTATATTTGGCACCATACCTACAGCCTGATGATAGAAAAAAATTGTAAATACAAAACTTGACAGTTTTTTTCTATATTTTCTTTTAACGTTATCAGAAAAAAAAAATCGCATCGGAAAATGGAAAAACGTAGACAACTTCGACTTTTTTAAATGGAACACCCTGTATATTTTGCGATAAAATGAAAGACCTTTTCTTCCTGATTACAAATATATATATATATGTTGATCACATTTGCATGAGCCATTTTTGACATATCTCAGCTTAAATTATAACTAAATTGCAAAGAAATTTTATAAAGATAGAGATCCTTATGGAACTTTTCTGCAAATTCTTTATAATTTAACCTGAGATATGTCAAAAATTGCTCAAGCAAATGTTATCAATATACAGGGTGTCCCATAAGTAACGGTCCAAACTGAAAGGGGTGATTCTTTGGATTATTTTATGACTAAAATGTTTAATAAACATATGTCCGCAACCGCTTCGTTACCAATCTACAGGGTGTTGAAATTTCAATATTTTTTTTAGTTTTGTCTTTAGCTCCTGCAATTTTTGAGGGATTCAGCTGAAATTTGAAATATAGGTGACGCAATAGGAGCTAAATAATTGCATATTTCAAACGTTTGCCAAAATTCACAGGGTGATGTTTTTCCAGGGGTCATATGCCCTTTCTAAGCCCTTTTCTACCCCTGAACTTCTTTGCGGTGCGCCGCTGGTAGATCCTAAAGAACTAAATGACTTTTCTACCTATTTTAGAAACTTTTTGTTCTTCTGTAGTTTTTTCGAATTACCGACCCTTATCGAGAAAAAAATTAAAAGACAAATCTTTGTAAATAGCTAGATGAAACTACAGTGACTCAATATACCTTTTCTACCTACAGTGTTGATAATAGAAGTCCCGCCGCCATATTCTTGATCATTTTCAGTAGGAATCTAGAAGTACGCCACGCCCTTGCCGCCATATTCTTGCTCAATTCCAATATGAATACATTAAAATTTCACCACCCTGTAGATCTGTAACGAAGCGTTTGCAGACCTATGTTTATTTGAAATTTTAGTTATAAAATAATCCAAAGAATCACCCCTTTCAGTTTGGACCGTGACTTATGGGACACCCTGTATATATATTTGGAATCAGAAAGAATAGATCTTTCATTTTATCGCATAATATACAGGGTGGTCCATTAAAAAAGTCAATATTGCTTACGTTTCTCCATTTTCCGATGCGATTTTGTTTTTTCTGATAACGTTTTCAGAAAATACAGAAAAAAACTGTCAAGTTTTGTATTTAAATTTTTTTTCTATCTTAAATAGTAAAGGCTGTAGGTATGGTGCCAAATATAATCAAATACCCTGTACATCATACGCCAGGTATCAGTTTTTACTGGCTCGTGAAGGTGACAAGCTCGCCTGACGGCTCGCTAGTCATTTCCTTCAATCACCAGTAAAAACTGTTTTACCTGGCTAATAATGTAAAATACTATTAACACTCAATACTGCGTTTTTTTTACATTTACCAAAATATGTCTAACACTAGGTAAATAAAATTTACCTTTGATCAAAACCTAATTTAACACTTAGTCAAGTGTACTTTTTACGTCCTCTAGAATATATTTAACACGCAAGAACGGGTGAAATGAATCTATTTTTCAAATAAAATTCTCCAAATTTTACCACATTTTATCAGTGGTGAATTTAACACGCATGAGTGTGGACCTATATATACCACTTTTGCGTGTCAAAATTAACACTAGATTTTTTACTGTGTACGAAGTGCGTTTTGACTTGCGTGTCTTTGTTGGCGTTTTTATAAGCACTTCTATGTCGGAAATGAACTCATATAACTATTTAGAATCGTATATGGAAGAAACTATCTGTAAGTCGATATACATTGAAAGCAACAACGATGGATATGTATAACAAGTCGTGTACCAATTGGCTTGATTTTCTGGCTGTATTTTGTATTCATGTATTGCCGTAACGACGCTCTTCAATAAATTGCCGAGCTTTTTGTTTTGAAAAAAGGCACTCGTATTGTCAACAAAACTTTTGCATAACGAGGCTAGCAGCGAACACATCAAACTGTTAATGTCGTTTTTTCGTCAATCGGTCCATTCCGGTAACCAAAGATCTGTCTCTGATGCTCTTTCGAGCAATTTTGCAATTTTGAAATCAGTTACCTTGTTATATCTTTTAAGCCAGATATAGCGCATCTTTAACAGCCAATCGCTTTCGTTTTGTTGAGCATATGTCGATAACTTACCGTAAGATAATATCTGATCATTTCGATCAACGGGTTTGTTGGCCATAATTTTGAATGTTTGGGCGCTGTTAAATTTTGCTGGATCAAAGGTAGATAATCGGTTAAGACTATAAAAGAGAACGAGAAACAATGCTGATGATAGGATCAATAAAAACATAGGTTCCTTATAAAATGTACGAATAGTTTTATTACAGAGAACTTGTTCTGTACACCATCCATTGTTCTAAACGACAAATTTCCTGAGATTGTTGTTCAAGTTTCAAGTCGCCATCAAAAACAAAAACGTCATCTCGTCCCATTAAAAACAAGTCGTGCAATTCGTACAGCTGTTTTAAATAACTTGGCGTTATGAGCGATTCTTCCGATCTGGCGCGTTCCAGCATACGTGCATACGAATTTTCGGGCGTAGTCCTTAGATAAATGATCCCATCGAACGGAGTCACCATCATCAAATTTTCAGTCAACGTTACCATTGCCGTATATTGGGAATGGGATAGATAACCGTTTAGAAAAGCGTGTTTACTAAAAATGGCAACGCTTAAAGGGCTGCTTTCCATTAATGTTGGACTCTTTATCGGATTTTGCCATCGTTTCATAAAAGAGGCTAAAACAATGATCTGGAATTGCATCAAATTGGCGTGAGGATTACTATACATCTGTTCAAGCCCAAGTGAGCAATGTCGTTTTTCCGCTTCCAATATTACCCTCGACACTGAAACATTGAGCAAGTTTATTAGACGCCATTATTTGATGTTTATCTGTGGAAGGGTTCATTGTAGTAAGCTCCAAGACGGGAATTTATACCTAGCGGATGATTTTCTAGTGATCAGAAAAACCTTCGGATAAACGTTCGGTGCATCATTATTTCCTATCGCCGCATCAAATCGTAATCGTAAACCGAACACAATATTTCCTATCGCTGCATTATTTCTCTTGGACTGTAATCGTAAACCGCACACAATAATATTTCCTATTGATGCATCAAATTGTAATCGTAAACCCACGTAGGATGCATTCTAACACATTTTTCTAGAAGGGGCGGATTGATGACATTGCATCGCATTCGTATAAATTGCCAATATCAATAACGAAAAATGTTAATTGCAATTGAACTCTTGCATCGAACATTTGCATCGAACTTTTGCATCGAACTATTACATTGAACTATTACATCGAACTTTTGCATCGAACTTTTGCATCGAACTATTACATTGAACTATTACATCGAACTCTTGCATCGAACTCTTGCATCGAACTCTTGCATCGAACTCTTGCATCGAACTCTTGCATCGAACTTTTGCATCGAACTTCCCGAACAAGCCCAGGCGAAATGGAAGCTTACAATATAGAATTGGATTATGTAAGTAGTCAAGCGTTTTCAACTATGCATTTCGAATTGTAATTGTTATTTTCATCAAGGACATCGACACGTTTCTGAGTAGGAGACCACCTACTCCTACTCCTCAGTATCTGCCAGAGACAATAGTAGTGAGCGAGCCACCAAGCAAAAAAAGAAGGGGGAGGAAAAACCAACCGTCCGCCGAACCATCAGCCGAACCGTCTGCCAAGCCAGCATCGGTCAAGCCGTCTGCCATCAACCTCTCGTCCAAGCACGCCGGAACATGACGATGAAGAGGAAGAGTTTATGGAGTTAACCGGGATAGGCCGACGCCTAAATAAAACGTTTGAGTTAGATCAACGATGACTGATGCGCCAATGTCCCAGTATTACACCACCGGGGCAGATCCAAATGCCGTCCTGAACCAGGAATTTGACAAGTTCAAGAGACGAATCAAAAAGAACCTCTTCCGGCTAAAACCTGTCACTTCTCTGCGCCCCGAAGTAGAACCTTTACTAAAAGACTTATTTGACATAATTTACAGTTTTATTCGGGGCAAGAAGACAAAAAATTTGGATCGGTTGCTATCAGTCATCGGCTATCCCGGCCTAACAGAGGAGGATATGGAACAGAAAAAGATTCTAGGGGACGTTCTCGTCAAATTGATAGAGTTCAACGAAACTGGAACTTTTTCAGTTCCAATTCTTCTACCAATATTCGTCGAAAATCTGTTCAAAATAGAGAGCCTAAAACTTCCGGCTATCTCTATGACATATTTTATGCTGAACGACAGTCTTCCTATCGAAAACAGTGCTGCGGTATTACGGCTGATTGCCAAACTAGCCGTAATACTTCAGGACTTCATCGATGCTTTGGACAAGGGGTTCCGGTTTTCGTGCTGGACGATATAAAAAAAATAGTGTAGTATTAGTGTAGTATTAGTAACTTGTGTCATTAACAGAATAAAACGTTTGTTCCTATATCCCTCTGTATTTTCTTTTACTGTCCTCAAGCACTGCCCTCAAGACAAGAAAAAGATCAAGTTTACTTTGGCTCTGTGTTCATTGAAAAAAAAGATCAAGTTTACTTTGGCTCTGTGTTCATTGAAAAAAGATCAAGTTTACTTTGGCTCTGTGTTCATTGCTATTCTTTGCCAATATAATTGGATCGGATTACCAAATGAATAATCTAGGGGCATGTTAATACAATTGTAGGCAGAAGAAGCGCACGGCATGTTAGTATAAATTTTTCCAGGCTCGAATTCTTCTTCATAATCATCACAGTCTAGCGGCACGTTGTACCTATAGGGATAGTCGCTAAATTGTTTAAATTCACCTTCTAGACAAACGATACATTTGCCGTATGCAAACTGCAAGTTGTATTTATTACAATCACATTCGCCTGTTTCCCAATTCAGGACAAACATCACTTATCTGTTCAAGATGGGACCACGGTGCCGTTTTATAAATATTGCCCGTAACCAGATCTATATTACTTGTGCAAGTAAAATGCCAGGAGCCATCTTCCAGTTTTTCATCTGGACCGGACATGACGAGCGTCGACGGAATGTTCGTGATGTATTGTTCATCGTACAGGTTATCAGTTATTTGCCCATTACATACGAGTATTTAATTGCCAACAGGGCCTCCGAATTCTGAGTACCGAGATAGACACGACCAACTTCCTAATATTTCACAGCAACGCTGGTAGAATAATTACAGTTGGCAGCAGCGGTAGGCAAGCACCAACCGCCCATTCGCAAGGGCACATCATGTATGTAAAGCAGATCATTTTTACCAATATGTTTAAGTAGATATATAAGGCTGGTTCTGTAACCTCCGTCCTCCGGAGGAGATGACGTCATCTGTCAATCAACTCACCTGTCAGTCATCTATCAATCAAGTTGCTACCTGTCAGTCACTTGTCAATTATCAATCACCTGTGGATCTGACATTATGTTGATCAGCTGTCAATCCGTTATTTGTCATTCGCCATCCGCGCCATCTATCCGTTCTAGTTATGTTATAGATGATGATGATGATATACATGTTGATACGTGCAAACTGTAAAAATATTTTGATTGGTTATATTAGATCTAGCTAGGCTAGCCTGTACTGGTTTAGCTGACAAATTTTTATTAGAGGTGCGATTAATGAAACGCAATTTCAGATAAAATGTTATTTATTGAACCACGTTTTTCCTATATCATAGATTATTCTAGACAATAAAATTCCACAGACTACAGATACAGTTATTATACAAAAATTGACCAAATAAATATAAGCACTAGGATTCGAGTTCCCCTCGGTGGTAGTGGGATTTATAGTTTCGTTTCTGCAGATGGTGTTTTGTGTATCCTGTGTTTTTCCCAGACAAATAGTTATCCATTCCTTGCTTGTTGAAATGCTTTTATTTTGGAACTCGACTTGCAACTTAAACTGATAATATTTATCCTTGGAAAATGGCACCACCGTCTGAAAAGTAGGGCTGCAAGGGCGATGAAATTAGAACTTAGCCTAACCATTGCTATTACATTTATGAAACATTCCACTATTTGGTTAGAGCACTTATACAGAAATAACATTTGTTTTATGAGGAGGGAGGCCCATCTACTTGCGTTCTCCAATCGGGTCTATTATAATGGATGAAACAAGGAAGTTTTACTTGCACCTCAAAAGCACGCCTGTGTTCAAGTAGTAATTTTCCCCAAATATTTAAAAGTACAGTACTATCGACATATTGTAAAAAAAAACCCAATTGGTGAATCTTTCAACTCATCAGCACTACATTCTTCTATATTTTTGTCCCCCGATAGAAATTTCAACAATTGATCACACATCTTCAACAAAAGCTTCTACTAGACTAAGGCATTGTAGATTGCGGGGGAGTCGTTTCAGCTTTTCAGCCGCTCAGCACTGCTACCTTTGCAGATATTTTGTACATTGATTAAGGAATACATGGAGACAATTATTATGCTATATTCAGTTTCCCTTTCCTTTTCCTTTTTTATTCACAGCTGGTGCTATAGAGGTCTTCACCTGCTCATCAATCCATCAATCATTTTGATTACCTGACCTTTGGTAACTAAGTAGGTATCGTTTATAGCATTTGCAGCTTTAACTATTCGCTTGTTGTCGATGCTTACATAATTTTTCATTACATTAAACAGCTTATGTTGTTCTTCTAAGGCAGAAATTTTCCCAGTCAATTTGTTTTTGATATCATTTTCAATCGATTGATTCTTAGTTATTAAACTTTGAACTTTATCCTGGCTGTCTTTCATGGAAGCCTCTATTTGCCTAAACCTGTTCTCAAATACTTCTTGTGAGGGTAAGCCACTAACTTTTTTCACTTGGTTTTGCAGATCTGTTTTGAATTTCTCCGAAATTTCTTGAAGCTTTTCATCTGTGTAGGATTTTGTAGCACAATCTTTTGATCCAGCAGGATTTTAGAAACTCATTCTCTTGTTCCTGATTTACAGGATGCATGGGCACTATATTTTTCATAAATTGATTATAGATTGATTTACAGTCAGTCTCTAACCATTCTACAAAAACCTTATGTGCATCAGGTCCTCTGAAAGTCTTGAAAATCGAATTGGAATCATCAAAATCGCATTTAATGTAATAGGCGAAAGAATATGGAGAAGCCCTGTGGGTTTTAACAGTGTAGGAATTTTCGAAAACCGGCTCTTATTCGTCTTTTTCAACAGGTTCAATGATTGTCTCGAAATCAGCGTAAACAACAAAAGGCACCTTTAATTTTTTTTCAAAATTTATGAATTTCAAAATATTCTCAGGAACCTCTTCACCGTATTTATTTTTCTTTAAATCTGTTGTCGGTAATTTAACTGAAACGTGACCACAGTCATGTTCTTGATGAGCTTTCAATTTCTGCTCAGTTGAAAAATATACCAAACAACCATCACAAAGATGTTTAGTTTTTTCATGTTTAGATAATTGGCTAGAGATCAAGCGAGACATGTTTCCTATTAAACAATAGTGACTTTTGTCATAATCGTTACTGATTAATAATAAATTTACATGTTTCGCTTTTCGAGACTGAGTAAAGTATAAGGGTCAGTAACTTCAGTAATATTTCTACCATTCTCATAAGCTTTATCTAATCCATAAACGTTGATGGAAATATTATTGAGCTGCTCAAACTTACTGATGTCCTTAAGTTTAGTTGGAAATTCCATACCTGTAAAGTCCAGCTCGTACTCGAAAGGCAAATAGGCCACGTGAAACATTTCTGGTCCTGATTTTGAATATTTAAGACAGCTTTTTTAGCATCTATCTATTTTGGTAGCGGGAGATTGGAAGAGGCTTTTAAGGGGTTGACCTTATTATTATATACATCTAGATACAGTAGTTGCTGCAGTGCCCAACCTGTAATATATATTATTTACTATAGAGGGGCCTTTATAAAATTTCTATATACTCGCCGCTCTCTTTTTCCTGGGCGAGCACTCTTTATCCAGGATAGCCGAAAACTGATGAAACAACTCCTCCGAATCCAACCCATCATCCACCAACCGAAACTTTGTGTTAAACGACTTGACTTCTTCTTGCTCTTTTGCCTGCAAGAGGAAGCGACCGAAAAGATCCACCTCGACTTTAATATTGCCAAATTTTTGTGCATTATCCCCTACCAGCTTGATAAATTTTTGTTTTAAATGTTTTAAGAATTTTTTTTAAACTGGTAAGGTCTTGTTTTGAGGAGAGTCGGTATGTTGCAATTTGGTTCCTAAAAGATGTTTTGACAAGTTGTACACCTTCCTCCTGCTCCACACAGATGTTGGCTCGATGCTGGAGGCTCCGAAGATGACCAACCCATTGATTGATTGATTGGGATGTCCAGATCGCATGCCTGGCACATAAATGTGCCAGGCATGCGATCTGGATATATTTATATCTATATTTATATATATTTAGTTTATTACATGATTTACATTTAAAAAAATTGCATAAATAAGGCCAAGTAGTAATACCTAATATAAATAATTGGGGTAATTTCTTTAAATGCAAATAAATGGTTTGGATGGGGTTGTTTGTTTATATATTTTGTGTGCGTGGGAATCTGGCGAGACGAGATTTTTGGGGAAAATATTTTAATTTTCGCCAGAGGAAGAGAGACTGATACTTTATATTTTAGAATAAATAATATAATTATTTTGTATTTTATTTGCTATTTGAAAACCTTTTTCCATAATTATCAGGTAATTGTATAAACTACGACAAGGATTTTTTAAGTGCTGCGTTAATTAAGTTCTATTTCCTTACATTGAGGAAAATTATTTAAACCGTTGAATGTGTGAAAATAATAAAACATTACCTTTAATGGCATCTTGCCCATCATCAAAACGTCTAAAATACTCTGAAGATTTCCTATTTTGCCATTGGGTAAGCTTTTTGAAAAGACTATGTTTTGAAATTTGGTTAAGATTAAAGGGTGCATACTTCATTATTATTGTATAATTATTATTATTTGCCATACTTATATATATTTTTTTTTTAGTTTTTTTTTTACTTCCAGCAGCTCATTTGTTTTTCTATTTTGAATTCTAGAGATCATATACTAATAACGCAAAAAAACTTGCCACATTTGAAACTCCTGATGAGCTTCTAAATCTATTCAATAGCCAAGAAAAAGTGATTGAGTACCCCGAATTGTACGAAGAGTGTTTGAAACACGTAGATAATTTTCAAGATATTTATTATACCCATAACGAAATAATTGAGGAGTATAATAAGTGGTTAGACTTTAAAAGTAGATACGCCTTTAATTATTACCATTATTATATTTGCTTAAAAAACGGAAGCACCAACTTGTGAAAATTGCCGGGATTCCATGCACGATTATTATCTCTTTAAAGGATCCTAGTTTGTTCACTATCGAAATGGCCATG